ATACACTATGTACCTGTCACCACTTTCAAAAATCTACAGACCGTCAATGTGGATGAAAACTAAACAAATAAAGTTATAAAACTGTCAAAAAAAAAAAAAAGGACAAATCCTGCATGGTGCCACTGTTGTGAAACAGAACTGACCTTGGTGTTGGGGAGAGACTGAGAGGGATGGGTTCAATAATGTATACTACATTGAAACAGATGAGGGAGAAAACTGTTTAAAAAGGATATGTGATTAGGTATTTTTGTCGTGACAGGAGTCTAGAGCGAAGGCTACATGGTGGAGTGGACCTGGGGGAGGATTTATAAAACAGTGAAAGAATTTTTCTTTTACTTTTCCAAGAGGGTAGTGTACTAGGGGGGAGGGTTGGGAGGGGAGAAAAGTACAACACTGAATGAATGGAAATCCAGAGTCTCTAAATTTTTACTGAAATTAATAAACTTAAATTTAAAAAAAAGAAGAAGAAGAAAGATTGAAACTTCAATTACTTCATCTAACTTGGATCCACAGTCAATACCTTTGGTACCTGCAGTCAGGAGATCAGGAGACATATTGTGCTGAGAAAGTCTGCAGTCAAGGACCTCTCCAAATTAATGATATCAGTTTGAAGACTTAAGGTGCCCCTGATTCAGGCCATGGTCTATTATTATTATTATTATTATTATTATTATTATTATTATTTTTGTGTGCGTGTACCGTCAAATCAGATCTGACTGGTACAGGAGGAGATTGTCCCTCCTTACCCGGCAGAGCATCTGGTGGATTCGAACTGTTCGCCTCTGGGATTGTAGTTGCAGCTCCTTGCCACTAGGCCACCAGAGCTCCCCTGCCATGGTCTTTTTAGTCACTTGTTATGTATCTGAAAGATGGACAGTGAATAAGGATGATAAAAGAATTATTGTCTTTGTACTGTGGTATTAGAGAAGAGTGCTAAATATCTCATGGACTGCCAAAAAAACCCAGATATGTCTTGGAGAAAGTACAGCCAGTTTTCCTTTGAGGCAAAAATGACAAAGCTTCATCTCATAGACTTTGGGCATGTTGCTAGGAGAGGCTAGTCCTTGGAGAGGGACATCATGCTTGGGAAGGTGGAGGGTCAGTGCAAGAGAGGAAGACCCTCAAGCAGATAGATTGACACAGTGATTGTAACAATGGACACAAGTGTGTCAGAGATGAAAAGGATGGCGCAGAATAGAACTGGATTCAGATCTGTAAGTCAGGTTTGACTTGTTGGTACCAAACAAAACAACACATTTATTTGGTAGAAGTTACAGTTCAGTGGTGATAAAAGCCACATAAACTGCATCCATCACACTGCAAGTGGACACTGTATGGGATTTTGCATTAGGCAGATTTGCACAGCAGCGTCAACTGTTTCAAAGCTTTCAATCGACCTTCTGAGTCTCAGGTTCTCACTTTGTCATGGGGCGATAATAATGCCTGCCTTACAGGACTCACAGCTGTCTCCCGTGGAATGGCTAGTGGACCTTGTGGTTAGTAGTCAAGTGCTATAACCATTGTGCCACCAGTACTCCTTCATAAGGAAAAAGGCTTGAAGACATATACAAAAATGGTACATTTTTATTGACTAGTGGTTATGTCAATAAATAGGGATTTTTTTTTTTGTTTGGTTGGGGGTTTTAATGAAATTTTTATTTTATAAATTTTCATTAAAATTAATAATAATTTTAAATAGAAAAAAATTTATTTTATACTGGTTTACTTGCAAAGTTCATATACATTTTTTTCACACCAAATCTTTCCCATTTACTAACCCACCTCTCCCTCCACCCATCAAATTGTGAGGCCCTGTGATTACTGACCCCCTACCCATCCTCTCCCCTCTGCTCCTGCCCCCCCTTAGATTGTCATGCACCAAATAGGTTTTATTTGTTGATATTTGTCTATAGTTTTTCACATGTTCTGTATTATGTTTATTTTGTGTTACTTTCAAAATGAGATTAATTTTAATATATTTATCATATAATGAAGTTATAAATTTGAAGTTATCTTGTATGTTTCAGTGTCTATATTTTTACCACAATTCTTTAAAAAGTGGGAAAATATTTTGCTTTTAAAAATATTTGTTGCTAAAACAGGTTCTCAGAGCTTTACTGTCCATGCACTCAGGTGATAAGCTTTGTCTCATACCTTGTTTTTCAGGTACAAGCCTGACCTAATTTGGTCTGATGGAGAATGGGAATGTCCTGATACTTACTGGAACTCTACAAATTTTCTTGCCTGGCTGTACAATGAGAGCCCTGTCAGGGTATGCAATTGTATGACTTACTTACTATTACAAAAGTCATTGTATTGGTTCTTATTTATTAATTATTATAAAAGAAGTATTGCTCCAGAGCCAAAATCTATAATAATAACAAGAATCAAATAACAGTAGTAATAAAGAGCAGTCTCAACATCACAGTAGTAGAAGGGGAGGATTAATAATAGGTAAACAAGCTCCATCCTTTTTTTAAAAAATAAAAACCCCTTTTATCTTTAATATGCATTGTGTTTCATGCATGTATGTTCTTTTTTTTTTATACAATTTTTTAATTTCTATTTCATTCATTTCTATTGTGAGGTCTGTCCCCCCTAGCTCAGGTTTCATTCTTGATTTTGACAAACATAGGTTTGGTTTAAGTATTATTGAGTGTTGTTGTATGCCATCAAGTTGGAACCAACTCGTAGCTGACCCTCCAGCAGGTTTTCAGAAGCTGTAAATCACAATAGAGAAGGTTGTCCATCTTTTTCCTGCAAAACAGCTGGTGAATTTGAATTATGTGCCTTTGGATTGGCAGTATAACTCCTTACCACTAAGCCACCAGAGCTCCCTAGCCAGGAGTAGTAGAGAAGAAATTGTATGTAGAATTTCTCAAACCACCATAAAGAAAATAAAGCAAAGGAAATAATTCGTCAATCACATAAATGTTATATGTAGGGAGACTACTCAAAATTAATAAACCATACAATCGAGTGATAAGAATAAAATGGCTGTATCTGTGACCTTATCTATTCTATGTTGATTATTCATTTCACTTCTCAAGGGAAAAATCTGTTTCCCTTATGTCCAGATTCTTGGGAGAACTTTCCTTACTCCTAACCCCATGCTCATTTTCAACACTACTGACCAGTATATAACAGCTACCTTTTCTTTCATAGGTTATATTTTGGTGCATTTTCAAAGTAACAGATATCTTAATCTTCATGTTAGAAAATTTGAAAGTGTTTATATGCATGTTCTAAATTTGTTGTGGATTTTGAAGAAAAAAATCTAAATCTGAAACCAGTTTGAACTGAGGTAACCTGATGGACGCATAAGCCTGAGGGGCTTTGTGGATAAATGTTAGAGACTGCAGCCATGTGATTAGTTAGGTACAGCAGAAATCATGAGGTGGCCTGGGTTCAGGCAGAGTCATTGTGACTTTGAGTCAACTTGAAGGTACCCAACAGCATTATCAGGCTGAGAAAATGAGAATAGAAAAAGGGACAGAGATCCAAGGTGACAAATAAAGGGTGGTCTTCTGGTACTTCCTGACCACATAGGGGCTTGGAGCTGCATAACATGTCCTGTTCCGGGGTCCTCATGCTGGGCTGCCCTAGACTTGGGCCTTGGAGACACTGTACCCGTGATTCCTCCCACTCTTCTGAATCTAGGAAAGAGTTTCTTGTGCATCTTAAAAGGGTTTTTTGAATTCATGGTAGGAAAGTGTACTGAGGAAAAAATTGGTTACTTTTGGTTAACAGGGAAGCCAGGTGGTTAAGGTGAGATCTCAGCTGTCCAGCTCAGAGGAAAAACTGAGGAGAGGCAGAGATGTTGTCACTTCCTGCTGACCTTCAGCCACTTTCCAACAGAACTTTCTGTTCCTCTCTTTGCATTCTGTCCAGAGAGAGCAGCACTCCCTGTGAGGCAGAAGGGTGAGGTCAGTTAGCAAAGGAGGCTCCTGCCCTTGATGCTCCTTCTGTCTGTGGGGTCATCACTGCTCCCACCAGCAGTTTCTCCAGGTCTTCACCTAGACATCATCGATTTAGTGCAGCCTTCCCTGGACACCCTGTCTAAGATTGCAGCATGACCTTGTCACACCATGTGACTTTGTCTGCCTTTTTTTTTCTTCCTTGTTTCCTGGTCTAACGTATTACAGACATTACTTACCCTGTTTAATGTCTTTCACTTTCACTAGTGTTCCAGCTATATGAGGGCAAAGGTTTTAGTCTTTTTACTGCTAATATATCCTCAGCTTTGAGAATAGTCTCTGGTTCCAGACATTTCACATCCTTTCCTGGGAGAAGTGGGAAACACTGATGAGTTAGGATCCTGCTTATTTTAATCCCTAACTGACCAGTTCTTGCTGAGAGACCATATTACTACTGTCCTCATATCTGTCTCCTCTGCCAGTCTGCGAGGGCTGTGTGAGCTTGATTTACCTGGGAGGCCCCCGTGCCTGTCACAGTGTAAGTCCTACCACACGCAGTTGCTGAGTAAATAATTGAGTGTTGAAGGGCTAGAATTTCTGCTCTCCCATTTTTCTCAAAGTGGCTTTTGCTTGTCTGTTCAAGTTAGGTACCCACAGAGCCAGATCATTTGATGTTCAGGATTACAGGCAAGTATTCAGGGGCCCTGAGTCATCTTGGGCTCTTTTTTTAAAAGAAATAAAATTTTTTATACTGGTTTACTTACAAAGTTTGTATACATTGCTTTTCATCCTGGATCTTTCCCATTTCCTTTACCCACCCCTCCCACCCCCATCAAATTGTATGATTCTGTAATTAACCACCTCCCCACCTTCACCCCTCTTCTTCCCCACCTTGGATCCTCATACACATTCTACAATAATAGTCTTATACAGTATTTGTCCTTATGGGACTGATTTAGTTCACTCAGCATAATGCTCTCCAGTCCCTTCCAAGTTAAGTAGTAATCTACAAAATCATTGGCATGCTGCACAGTATTCCATCGTGTGAATATACCATAATTTCTCAGTCCATTCAGTTGTGGTTGGACATTTGGGCTGTTTCCATGTTCTTGCAATTGTGAATAATGCTGCTATGAACATTGGTAAACAGGTGTCCATTTGTACTTCAGTTCTCATTTTCTCAGGGTATATTCCAGGCAGTGAAACAGCTGAGTCATAAGAAATTTCTATGTTTAGCTTTTTGAGCCAAACTGCCTTCCAGAGTGCTTGTACCATTTTATAATTCCACAGTGTATAAGAACTCCTATCTCACCACATCCTCTCCACCATTTACTATTTTCTGCCCTTTTAAACTTTACCACTGCTTCTGGGGTAAGATCCCATTGTGGTTTTGATGTGCATCTCTCTTACTGCCAGTGATTTTGAGCATTTCTTCATGTATCTGTTGGCCATCCGAATATCTTCTTCTATGAAAAGTCTTTCCAGAGTCTTTTGCCCATTTTGTAATAGTGTTGTCGGGCTTTTCCTTATAGAGGTCGTGTTGGTGTTATGTGCCATCAAGTTGCCTGCGACTCATAGCAACCTTATGTACAACAGCCCTAAACTCTACTCTATCCTGTGCCAGTCTTACTTTCTCTGACACACCTATCCCCATTGCCCCAGTCACTGAATCAACCCATTTCATCAAAGATCTTGGGCTGTTACCTCCACTCCTCCCAAGTATGATGTCCCTCTCCGAAGACTGGTCCCTCTTTGCAGTATGTCCACAGTTTGTCAGACAAAGCTTCAGAATCCTTGCCTCCAATGAGCAGCCTGCTCTCACCCTGTCTAGGATGAACTTGTTTGTTCTCTTAGCAGTCCATGGTATATTCAGTACTTTTCTTTAGCACTACAGCTCAAAGGCATCAGTTCTCCTTCTATCATCCCTAGTCATTGCCCAGCTTTCTGACACATAACAAGTAATTGCAAAGACTATGATAGCCTGTATCAGGTGCACTTTAGTCACTGGACTGACATCACTGCCCTTCAGTACCTTGGAGCAGTCTCTGACAGCAGACTTTACCAATGCAATTCATCTTTTAATTTCCTGGCTACAGGTACCAAGAGTTTAGATTGTGGAGCCAAGCAAACGAAAGATGTTAACAATCTCAATCTCTTCACCATCTATCATGATGCTGCCAATCAGCCCAGTGGTGAGAATCTTTGTTTTCTTGATGTTGAGTAAGATTCTGTAAACTTTTCATATGAGACCCTTATCTGAGATGGTATTGCCGAATTATTTTTCCCAATCAGTAGATTTTCTTTTCACTCTGTTGGAAAATGTTTTTGATGTGTACAGGGATTTAATCTTGAGAAGATCCCATTCATCAACTTTATCCTCTCCAGATGTGCATTTCTGGCTATATTTGGCAGCCATAGACTAGGTCATCTAAGCTTGATCCCAGTTTGTCTCTGATGAACTTTATGGTTTCGGGCTTTACTCCCAGGTCACTGATCCACTTTGGGTTGATTTTTATGTATGGTGTGAGATGTGGATCCTGTTTCGGCTTTCTGTAAGTAGCAGTTCAGTTTTGCCAGCACCATTTGTTGAAGAATCTTGGTCTCTTTTGCACAGTAATTACAAAGCAGCTGGAGTTTGCTTCTCCTTGTGTGGTGGTTTCTTCCCATTTGCACACTCACTGTGTAGACATATGAGGGCTACTGCAAGGATTTATTGAAACCTATTTTACAGTGTGTCTAGTGCTAAGCCCAGGAAATACATACTTGAGTAATATAATTTCTGGTGTCAGGGAACTACCAGTCTGAAGAGAAAGATGGGCATGTAAACATATTATATTGGCAATAAAATAGAAGTATGTCTGGGGTCTGCAGCAATTTGCAAACATTGATCAGAACACCAGGCATGCTGGATGCTGTAAAAAGAGCAAAGGCCACCTGGGGACAGCCACTAACCCTAAGGCCATACCACTCCAGTGGTTTGAATCCACCTCAGGAGAAGGGTGGGCAGTCTCTTCCCACAGGGGCTATATAGCCTTGGAAACCCAATGGAAGGTCATCCATGAGGCAGTACCAAGGAGGTATTTTAGTTTTGGTTTGGGCAGGTTTTTTTAACTATAGGAAGTATCCACTGACAGTATGAATGAACCTGAAATATTAGGGATTTTAAGGGGTTTTTTTTTCAATCTCCTTATTGCCATGATGAATAGAAAGTGTTTTTGGTTATTAACCTTGTATTCATCATCTTGTTAAAAAATATACTACAATGTTAATTAAGAAAGTCCAAGTAGTGAATTCTCATAGGTCACCTAAACTTTGAAGGAAGGGTTATTTGGTTGCTGACTCTTCTGTATCAGCCTAAAGAAAGTCAGGGCTACCTAATGGGAAGTCTTCCCGCTTACACCTGCCTAGTAGTCACCTCAGACAAGTCCTGTCCTCTGAATCTCCATTTCATCATAGAAAACCCACTGTTATCTAGTCAATTCCAATTTGTCACAGTACTGCATTGGATTGCCAAGGCTGCACAAGTTTACAGGAGAAAACTTTCTCCTGGTTTTCTCCCCTGAATTAATCAGTCGATTTGAACCACCATGACACCAAAGCTCATTAAGTGATGGTGCTGACATTTGATCGAGTTAATTACTTATTTGGGGCCTGGGGAGGGAAGACAAGATGTCTGGTGCACTGAAGGATGTTTAACAGAATCCTGAACCTATATCCATTTGTGATTGGAGCAGGGAAAGCATGGGGAAGCCCGAGTCTGACTTCTGCTAACTCCCTAAAGGGAACGATCCCCATCACAATACAAAACATCCACAGTACAAAACTGGTAGCCGCAAAGTCAGACATGGTCTCCCATGCTCCTGCAACCACTTTCACCAATTCCAATGGTAGTTTTACTAATAACTGGGTCTGAAATTCATTGCAGTGACACCACAGACTTAGCAGAACCATACTCATGATTGTTGGATTTGACTGTGGGGATTATTGAGGTCAGCAGGCCACAACTCAGGATAGCAATAAGGAACAGTATGCAGTCAATAACCATACAACCCCTCAGTCCTCCAGCAAGCTTGAGTAAAGCTCTGGCTTCAGTGGAATAGCAGTCCCAAGTCAGATATATCCAAATAAACTAGTTGTTGTTTTTGTTATGTGCTGTCAAGTCGCCTGCATCCTGCAGTGACCTTATGTACTACAGCACTGAAGCCTGCCCTGCTCTGAGCCCGTCTCAGTAATTCCAACACACCAACCCCCATTGCCCCAGTCACTGTATCAATCCATCTCATCCGGGGTCTTCCTTTTCTGTGCTGTCCCTCCACCCTGCCAAGCATGATGTTCTTCTCCAAGGACCGGTCTCTCCTGGCCACATGCCCAAAGTATGTGAGACGAAGTTTAAACGAGTAGCAGTTCCAAATCAGACCAGTATCACTGTGCTTCTCAGTCCAGACAACTTCTCATCCTCCAGCAAACTTGATCTGATCAAGTCCGCAAGTCACACTGCTGCTCTCACGTTGCTCTGCCTCTCCTCTGCCGAGGCTGCGTTGCTTTCTTGCGGCTGCCAGTCTGGGACTAACACAGCTGTTGAAGATGTAGGTGGCCCACGTCAGGCAGAGCTGAGGTAGAAGAACCAGGTTAATGTGCTTTCAGGCCAGATGGAGTTGAGGCAGCTAGCTAAACAACCGTCTAGAAAAGCCATTTTAAGCAACAGAAAGCCACCGCAGTTAGTAGACCCGCTACAACACACCATGAAATACAAATAACACCATTTCAATCATGACAACCAGAAATATCTGCAGCAGTGTCCCCTGAAGGGCAAATGTGCTCCTGGTTGGGAACCACTACTATAGATTGAGGATTCCTGGTGGTACAATGATGAGATACTTGCCTGCTAACCGGAAGGTCAGTGTTTTAACCCATTCTGTGACTGCACAGGGGAAAGACCTGGCAGTGTGCCCCATAAAAATCACAATCTAGGAAACCCCTTGAAAAAGTTCTTCCCTCTTCCCTGGAGTCACTGTGAGTGAAATCAGGTTAATGGCACACACCACCACCACCACCCTCCCTAGATGAAGTCTTTCCTTTGCCGCCACACAGACTCTTCGTCTATGAAAATCCTTTGATGAAGGAAGCTAAGTGTTTGTACTCTGAATGACCCAGTACACTTCCTTCCTTTAGGATCAGGTGGTGGTAAATGACCGTTGGGGTCAGAACTGTTCCTGTCACCATGGAGGGTTCTACAACTGTCAAGATAAGTATAAGCCACAGACCCTGCCAGATTTCAAGTGGGAGATGTGCACCTCCATTGACAAGTTGTCCTGGGGCTTTCGGCGCGACATGAAGCTGTCAGATATTGCAAGTGAAGAGGAAATCATTTCGGTAAGAGTTACACTATGGCAGCTTCTCTCAAACCAGCCTTTGAATCAAGAGCAGTGGAAACACTCAGGATCATTTTCAACTGGAAGTAGGTTTCTCTAATTGCAGACATAAAGATATAATTAAGAATGACCCTTTGGCCATTAACGGATTTTTGAGTGTAATTCTGGCTAAACTTTAGTAGGTTGAATGAAAAAAGTTCTCCTTTTAAAAAATTGCTGTATATAACTTTAATTTGACTGGCCTTCCTTGAAGTGCACATATTCTAGGTGACATGAGACACACGGCCCCGAAGCCTAGAAGAATACATCTCTTTACAACATGTTTTTCTGAAGGTGCAGTGAAGGAGCAGGAGAGCATCCTGAAATTCCCTAAAGCCCTTTCATCTCCTCAGGGTCTCACAGCAACAGCTCACAGCTGCCTCTCTGTTCCCGGCCTTCTCTGTGTTGCTCCACGTGATCCCTTCACAGCCAGGTGCCTCCTTTCTCAGGGTCCCCGGCCCCATGTGGTGCCTCTGTCACGGGACCCTGCCTTCCACTCCACAAAGCACCATCAGATGTACACTCTCACCTGCAGTCCCGGGTGACTTTCCTGCCCACAACCATTAACCCCCAGATTCAAGTTATTTCTTCATCTCGTAACATGGACTTTTCAGTTTTTTTCTAATGAGTATATTCTGTCTTCCTAATGACAAAAAAAAGGTACTCTTTTTAAAGGTGTGAAGAATATTTACAAAACAGGGAGAAAGCGCCCTGGATGCTCTTCTTTTCTCAATGTCTGTGTGTCTGAAGCACATTGTACTTGTCTCTCTGCTCTCTCCAGGAACTGGTTCAGACAGTAAGTTTTGGAGGCAACTACCTTCTCAACATTGGACCAACTAAAGATGGAATAATTGTTCCCATTTTCCAAGAAAGGCTGCTTGCTGTCGGGAAGTGGCTGAGCATCAATGGGGAGGCTATCTATGGCTCCAAGCCGTGGAGAGTGCAGTCAGAGAAGAAGAAGAATGGGACAACTGTGTGGTGAGTCTGCTGTTCTTTCTACTCTTAGTCCCTGTTAAGTGTAGGAACAAGACTGTCCTGACCTGTGACTTCCTTGAGTCCACATTGTACAAGCAAGGTCGCAAGTTGCCTTGAAGAAACCCCAGAGCTTGGGTTTTTGCCCTAAAATGTGTGTCACCAGTTGGATTGTTTCCATCAGGTTTTCTTTGACTAGTGAGGGAGGCTGAGGAAAGAGAGAGCTCTCCAGTACTGGTATAGTGCTTAAAAGATACCAACTGCTAACAAAAAGGTCAGTGTTCACACCCACCAGCTACTTCTTGGGAGAGAGATGAGGCAGTCTGCTTCCATAAAGATGTACAGCCTTGGAAAACCTACAGGCACTTCTGCACTGTCCAGTAGGGTCATTGGGAATTGGGATTGACTCGATGGCAGTGTGGTTTTTGTTAATGTTTAGGTACCATCTACAGTATGCCTCAAGTAAATGGCAAAACCATGATTCACACTTGAAAGTTTTTATCTTTGGCCTCCATCATTTCAATTATAAAATGTGGTGATGATATTCATTTCATAGGGTGGTGAAAATCAAATGAGATTAAAGCATTGGCTAGTGCCAGGCAGATAATGTTGTTGTTGTTGTTATGTGCCATCGAGTCGTTTCTGACTCATAGCAACCCTATGCACAACAGCTCTAA